GTTGCTGAGACAAAATACTTGAAGCCCAAGTTGGGAAAGAAAAGATTTATTTTTACAGTTTTTGGAGGTTTCAGTCCACACTCAGTTGGCTCCAAGGCAGGCAGGAATGGCTGGGCCACAGTTCATGGCGGCTGCAAACAGCAAGCAGGAACCAGAAAAGAGAGAAAGACACACCTTCTTCCTGCCATTACATTACATCCTGGCTCCACCCCTTTGTGGCTGTAGCACTGACACCATCAAGCCAAGCACTAGGCAATGAACCATCACAAAGGCACAATGCAAACTCATGAGGCCACAGACATAAACCATGACACTCACCCAATGGCCTTTGAGTCCTTAAATAACCTCCCTTTAGTAAGTCTCTACAGGAACTGCTGTACATCCTCAAAACTAAGAGCCTACTTCCTGTGCCCATTTTTACCAGCTGATCATGAGCTAGTAACTATGATATAAGCTTCGTTCTGAAAACTGCAACATAGGATACAGGAGATACAGGAAGTGAATGACCCAAATGCCAAAGTGTCACATCTCAGCACACTTACACTCTTTGTTGAAGTTTTCCAAGGTCCCCAGACAGTATCTGGCATCTTCTGGCTGGGCAGTGCCTTCACACAGGGCGTGGCAGACCAAGTCAAGGAACGCCAAATGATCTGTGGGCCCATCCAGGACCCTCTGCTGAGCCCTGGTTCCAGAAGGGCAGCCTAGTGAATAAATCCTTCCCTCTGGCCAGATCTGGATTTATTTGTAAGATATCATGACAATTTACTGCTAGAATACTCACTGAGAAAAATCCATGTTTCTGTGGTCGAGGACCCATAAAATGGGATTTGCATATCCTAAGAGTGACCCTGCTTGATGGACAAGTGCTGTTATGAATGCCATATTATACATGAGAAAACCGAGGTTTAATGGAAAATTTAAAACCTCCAACAAAGTCCTTCTGGGAGCTGATATTTTAAAGTCATCTTTGAGCTGAGATCCCAAACTGTTGGCTATCACATTACATTGCCTTCCATGGTGTCTTTTCTTGCTTAATTTCAATGTATATTTTTCATCGATATTCGTGTGGTCTGAGCTGATATGTTGAAACCTAGAAATTCTCCCACTCTGTGTAGCCCAGTGCAGTCCACAGGGAAGCTCAGCATCTACAGGACTGGAGCGAAAGGGTGAAAGGAATCATGCACAGTTAAAATCAACCTGAAACAGTCCCTGATCTCCAGAACTCGCAGCTACTCCACTTGAGAGACGCTGAAAACTCCCAGATACTGGAAATCAACTAATTCATAGGTCTGAAATGGATGATAGATCCAAGTGGGGAGAGCAGAAGCACAAAGACTCAGGTTTCCAGGAGACTCATTATTTTGGCCCATTATCTTCGTTTAAGAACTAAGAAGGAGTCGGAGTTTAATCTAACTCTGTCTTCATCACTGTGCTCTTCTAAGCTTCAGAGAAGAGGGAGCAGGACCAAAGCCACCGTGGCACTGCAGATGAAGCTTTGGCCCTATGATTGCAAGTCTGATAAGAATAGAAGAAGATGACGCCCTAAAGGGGTTCTGACACTTAAGATTTATCTTTAATTTGAGTTTATTGCTCATGTCTAGGCAAAGTAATTTATGTTCATTGATAATGCAACAAGTGTCAGGTTCTTCTCACTGATTTCTCAAAGTGAGCAAATAGTTTTTCAGTGAGCTCCAGTAAAGACAGGCACGCCATAAGGTGACAAGTTTGTAACCAAGTTTAAACTAAGTTCCTTAAGTCAATCTAGTCTAGAAACAAAGTCAAGCTCACCATAAAAGAGCAGATAACAGAAACAAAACTCTTTCACTGGCTCCACTTTCTACACACAGTAGCAGATCTTACCCCATCTTGCCACCTTCCTCCCAAATGCTTCTGAGAGGTCCAGGAAGTTCCTGCAGGACGTCTCCTCCAAATTCGTCACGGTCTAACTCCAGCCGAGAACCATCCTCCTGCAGCTGCTCTGTGCTGTCTACTGCTCTGATCCTTGGCAAGGCAGCTTTGCTCCCAGTGGACCGGCGTGGAGGGTTTGCATTAACCTCACAGGCAGCTGAGCTACTACATAACCTGCAGGGGCAGAAGACCTTTTGTCTCCACCACTCAAAATTCTAAAGCAAATTCCTAAGAACACTAGGGAAGAAATACAAAATACTTACAAAGCCTTCCCTCTCTTTCCACACTGCTCATTTTTTTCTTATTTTAAAGAGAATTTTAAAAAATTAAAATGATACAGAATTTCAGAACATGATAGGAAATTAACCATGGTTGTTATATTGCATATTGCTGTCCTCAAAATATTTGATAAGATTAACAAATATAAGCATGCAAAATTGATGAAACAATACAAGTACTAACTGTTCCGTTCAATGAACTCATCAAATTAGTAATGCAGTTATCTCAGCTATCTTGTGTTTGTGCATATAATATATATATTGGTTCCTTTCCTTCTTTTCTCTTTTCCCCTTTCCCAGTTGTTCTTTCCTTTTAAATAGTTTCTTTCCCTTTAACAATATCTATTGTGCCTTTTGGATGTTTTTTACTCATTCAGTTACTAATACTAGGGAGACAATATGATGTGTACACACGCAAGTCTGATTTATTTCACTTAAGAGAGAGGTCTCAAGTTGCATCCATTTACTTATAAGCTGAGATTTTATCTTTCTTTATAACTGAATAGTATTCCATTGCATAAAAATACCACATCTTTTATACCCATTCCTTAGTTGAAAGCCTTTTGGGCTTTTTCTAAGATTTAGCTATTACAGATTGTGCTGCTATGAATATGGGTGCACATATTTCACTATGGTATGATGTTTTCAATGCTTCTGGAAATATACCCAGAAGAGGAACAGCTGGGTCAAATAGAACCTGTAATTTTAGCTTTTGAGAAATCGCCACTGATTTCCACGGTGGTTGCACCGGTATACTCTCCCACCAGTAGTGGAGAAGGCTTCCTTTTCCCCACAGTCCGGCCAGCATTTGTTATTGGTTGATGGTAGTCATTCTCTCTGGCTGAGATGGAATCTCAGTGTGGTCTATTTACATCTGTTGAATGACCAGTGATGTGAACATTTTTTCATGTATTTATTTTCTGTTTGTATTTCTTCTTTTGAAAAGTAGGTATTCATCTCATATGCCCATGTTAAACTGGGTCTTTTAATTTGGGGCACATGACTTTTTAAAATTCTTTACATGTTCTACATAGAAGTCCTTTGTCTGAGGGACAGTTGGTAAAACTTTTTTCCCAATTTATGGTGATTTCTTTTGATGTGCAAAAGCTTTTTTTAATAAGATGAAACCCAAGTTGTTGATTCTTTGAAGTATTTACAATGCTTAGTTTTTATTCAAGAAGTCTTCAAGATTTCTACCTACTTTTTCTTCCAGTAGGTTCCCTGTTTCTCTTTTAATATGTACATCCTTGATCCACTGACTTTAACTTAGGACGTGGTGATAGGTATGGGTCTAGCTTTAGTCCTTAGCATATGGAAAGCCAGTGTTTCCAACACCATTTATTAAAGAGGCTATCTATATTCCAGTGAACATTTGGACACTTGGTCAAAATGAAGTGGCTGAGTGTGTTTGCAGCTGAGTCCACATCTTCATTCTGTTCCACTGATCCACAAGTCTGTTTTTATTCCAGTACCATGCTGATTTTACCACAGAAGCTTGTAGAATAATTTCAAGACAGGGATGGTAAGGCCTCCTACCTTGCCTTTGTTCCCAGAATTGGCTTGCCTATAAGTCTCTTCTGGTTCCAGATTAATTTTAGGAATATTTTCTCTAGATCTGTGAGATATGCTAGTATTATTTTGATCAGGATTGCATGAGATCTGTATAAGAGTTTTAGGAGTATGGCCATTTTCATGATATTGTTTTTTTCTATCCATGAGCAAGGAATAACTTTCCATTTCCTGAGATCTCTTCAATTTGTTTTTTCAGACTTCTATAATTTTCATTGTACAGATTTTTATTTCCTTTATTACACTGATTTCTAAGTGTTTCATTCTTTGAATATTACCATGGAGGGTATGGTATCACTAATTCCTCTCAGTGAGTTTGTCATTTGTGGACATATATGCTATTTATTTTTGAGGGTTGACTTTGTATCTACTTACACAATTAAATTTGGTTACTGAAAGTAGAAGTTTTTTGGTAGAGTTTTGGGGGTCTTCTATGTAGGGTATTAACGTAGTTTCCCAATAATTGTAATTTTACTTCATCTTTTCCTATACTTGTTTCTATTATTTCTCCCTCTTGTCTAATTGCTCAGGCTAATGTTTTCAGAACTATATTGTACAGAAGTGGTGATAGATTGAAAGCTTTGAGATTTGCCCATTTAGCGTAACGTTAGCTCATAGAAGGTTTATCAGATTACAATATAGACCATTTATCCTGATTTTATATAGGTTTTTTTATCGTGAATAAATGTCCAACTATATCAAAAAAATTTTCTGCATCTATTGAGATGATCATATGATTCTTATCTTTTGCTTTATTGGTATGGTGTACTGTTTATTGATTTGCATTCATTGAACCATTCCTGCATTCCTAGAGTGAATTCCACTTCCTCATGGTATATTTTCATGCATTCTATTTGCCAGTATTGTGTTGAGGACTTTGGCATGCATGTTAAATAGGGTGATTGGCCTATGATTATCTTTTTTGGTTGGGTCTTTCTCTGGTTTTGTTATTAGGGTAACACTTGCTTCCAGGAATGAGATAGGGAGATTTGTTTCTCTTTCAATTTCACTGAAGGGTTTGAGGAGTGTTGGCATTAAGTCTTCCTTAAATTGCTTGCAGAAGTCAGCAGTGAATCCATCAGGACCTGAGTTTTTCTTTATTGGTATGTTTCAAATTACGTTTTCAGTTTCATTAACCGATATTGGTTTATTCAGAATCCTTATATCTTCTTGATCCACTTCTGGTAGGTAATTCATGTTTCTAGAATCTGCCCTTTTTTTGTATTTTCTATGCTATGCAAGTAAAGATTTTCAAAATAGATGTTGATTGATCATGAAGGTGGTTTTCCCAGGGTGAGGCTCATCCATTGCACTCTGGATGTGCTGACTCCTGCAATTTCTCTAAATGCCCGAAACTCGACTGCATAATTTGTGGTAGTGGGGGACTGTGTTCGCTCTTTCCCCTGGCTTAAAAAAAAATGGATGTTGATGATCTACAAGATCTGTAGTGATTTACTCTTTTCAATGTTTATTACTTGAAGCCGAGTTTTTTTCTTTTTATAAGGTTTTTTGTAAGATTAGTTATCAATTTTATTTCTTTCAAAGAAACAACTGTTCAATTAATTAATTCTTTGTATGTTTTTCTTACTCTCAACTGCATTAATTTTTGCCCTAATCTTTATAATTTCCTCTTTTCTGTGGGCTTGGGGCTTGACTTGCTCTTTTTTATTCTAGTAGCTTAAGGTGCAGCATTAGGTTGTTTATTTATGCTAATTAGATTTTCCTAATACAAGAATTCATTGCTGTAAATTTTCCTCTTGGAACTGCTTTCATTGCATCCCAAAGGTTCCTATAAGTTATATTTGCGTTTTTAAATTTCTTCTTTAATTTCATGTATGACCATTGATTGTTCAGGAGGGTGCTATTTTTTTTTTAAATTTTTTTTGGAGAAAAATGACTTTAGAGAAAGTCCTTTGTGCTGTTGAGAAGAATGTGTATTCCAATGTTGTTGGGTGCAACATTCTGCAAACATCAGCTAGGTTCATGTGTTCACAAGTTTTGTTCAGTTCTGTTATTTGCTGATTTTCTGTGTAGTTGATCTATCTCTTTGTGACAATAGGGGGTCAATGTTCCCCATTACAATTTTGCCATTGCTTGTTTGATTTTTCATCTCTATTAATATTTATTTTATATGTGTGTGTTTCTATATTGATGACTATATATATATATATGTATATATTTATGAGTGTTATCTCTTCCTCTTGATGTTTTCCCCTAACATATATGTAGTGATGTTCTTTATCTCTTATGATCATCTTCATTTGAAGTTTACATTGTCTGCAAATAGAATCCCTACCCTGTCTTTTCCTGAGTTCCCACTGCATGGAGTATTGTTTTTCACTTTTTGACATAAAGTCTATGAATTTCCTTTTGAGTTAAGTGTTTTTCTTCTAGACAGTATATTGTTAGATTTGTTTCTTGATCCACTCTGCCAGTCTGTTTCTTTTGATTGGTGAATTGAGGTCATTTACATTAATGGCTATTACTGCTATATTGGCTTACCTTTGTCATGTTATCTTCCTGCTGTTGGTTCCCTACTTTTTCCCCCCTGCTGAATTGCTTGCCATGCTTGTTGATTTCTTCCTATTGCTGTTTTTGGAACTGTGGTCATTCTCATGTCAGTCTACAATATATTTCAGTACTCTTTGTTGGGTGGCCGTGAATTTCTTCTTTGATGGTCATGATACTTCTATTTCATGGAACTATATTATTTCATCAGTAATTTACTTTTAGAGGGAGATATCAGGGGTTGAACTGAAGGCCTTGCACTTGCCAGGCAGCATGAAATGACAGTCCAGCAGCTTCAAGATGATGCCAGGAGAAACAAAATAAGACTAATAGACATATCCACAAAAGTAATAGCAGAAAATTTCCCAAACATGGGGGGAAATCTGGTATACAAATAAGTGAGGCATGCAGAATGCCAAACAGTCACAACCAACATGAATCCACACCCAGTCATATAATAATTAAGATCCCAGACATACAGCATAAAAACAGAATACTAGGTGCTGGGGATTTAGCTCAGCAGCATAAGCACCTGCCTTGCAAGCAGGCATTCATAAGTTCGATCCCCGGTACTGATTAAAAAAAACAAAATACTAAAAGCTGTGAGAGAAAAGACACAACACACCTATCAAGAAAAGTCTATTAGAATCATGGCAGACTTTTCAGCATAAACATTCAGGTTAAGATGAGCTTGGAGTGAAGTATTCAGGCTCTAAAAGATAACAACTTTAAACCCAGACTGATGCAGCCAGAAAAATTGGTTTTCAAATTTAATGGAGAAACAAGATAATTCCATAACAAAGAACAATGGAAGAAATTCATGTCCACCAAATCAACCCTACAAAGAGTACAGACAAATGTACTAGATAGAGATAAAAATGACCACAATCTCCAGAACAACCACAGAAAGAAACTACCAGCTTGGACAAGAAATTAAACAAGGGAGAAAAGCAGGAAACCAACAATAGGAACACAACATGGCAAAATCAAAACTGTACATATCAGTGATTTCCAAAATGAAAATGGGCTCAACTCACATATCGAAAGAAACAGGATGACAGAATGGATCAAGAAATAGGATCCCACAATATGCTATATACAAGAAACATATCTCACTTAAAAAGAAACTCATAGAGTAAAAGTCAAAGGATGGAAAACAGTATTCCATGAAACAGGAACCCAGAAAAAAGCAGAGGTAGCTATTCTGTTTGCAAATAAAATGAACTTCAAACCTAAAAGGATTAAAAGAGATAAAGACGACCACTACATACTTGTAAGTAGAAAACTGCAAGAGGGAAGAACTGACAATTATAAATATATATGCACCAAATGCAGGAGCACCCAACTATATAAACAAACATGAATGGACATGAAAAACCAAATACACAAGAACACAATTGTAATAGGAGACCTTAACACCCCACTGTCACAAAGAGATAGATCAACTAGATAAAGAGTCAGCAATGAAATAACAGAACTGAATCATACCTGTGAGTGAATGGACTTAGTGGATGTTTACAGAGTGCTTCACCCAACCACGTCAGAATATATATTTTTCTCAGCTGCACATGGGACATTCTCCAAAATAGACCATATTAACCCATAAAGTATTAACTACATGAAAAAGCAAAATTATCCCATGTATAATATCTGATCATAGCACACTAAAATTGGAAATCAATGGCAAAAACCCTGCAAAACCTGCATAACAACATGGAAATTAAATAACAACCTTCTGAATAACTAGTGGGTTACAGATAAATTAAAGAAGAACTAAAACAATACCTACAATACAGTGAAAATGCAGATACAAAATACTGTAACATATGGGATGTAATGAAAGCAGTCCTGAGAGAAATACACATCAATAAATAGTCACATCAAGAAAATTGAATAAACACTAATACAGAACCTAATGCTACATCTCAATCTTCTAGAAAGGAAGAACAAGTGAAACCCAAACCTCATAGAAGAGAAGAAATTGCAAAGCTTAGAGCAGAAATTAATGCAATTGAAACTAAAAAAAATACAAAGAATTAATGAAGCAAAGAGCTGGTTTTTACAGAGAATAAACAAAATTGATAAACCCTGGCCAATCTTCTCAAGAAAAAGAAAGAAAAAACTCAAATCCACACAATAAGGACTGAAAAGAAGGAAATTACTACAGATCCCATGGAAAGTCAAAAGATCATGAATACCTACTTTGAAAATCTCTACTCACATAGGGTGGAAAACACAGAGGAAATGGGCAGATTTATAGGAACATATGAACTACCAAAGCTCAGTCAAAGGCTATAACAATTTTGAATATTCCAACAGCAGCTACTGAAATAAAATATGTGATTAAAACTTACCAATAAAGAAAAGCCCAGGTCCTGATGGATTCATGGCTGAATTCTATAAGAAATTTAGTGAAGATTTAGCAGCAATACTCCTTAAACTCTTCAATGAAATTGAAAGAGAAGTAGTCTTCCCTAACTCATTTTTGGAGGCAAGTATCACTCTGATACCAAAACCAGAGAAAGACCCAAACAAAAAGGTGAACTATATACCAATCTCAATAATGAACATTGATGCAAAGACTTTCAATAAAATATTGGCAAATCGAATGCAGCAAATCATCAAGAAGATTACACACCACGACCAAGTGAGATTTTTTTCCAAGAATGCAGGCATAGTTCAACATGCTCACATCAACAGAGCCAAAAATAAAAAATCACATGATCATCTCAATAGATACAGAAATAGCTTTTGATAAAGTCCAACATCTTTTCATGATAAAAACCCTACAGAAACTCAGAGTAAACAGTATGTACCTCAGTCTCATAAAGGTCATCTATGACAAACCAGGAGCCAACATTATACTAGATGGACAAAAACTGAAAGCCTTCACTCTAAAGTCAGGAGCAAGACAAGGTCATCCTATCACCACTCCTACTCAATATAGTTCTGGAAATATTAGCCAGAGAAATTAGACAAGAGAGAAAAATAAAAGGAAAAAATAGGAAAAGAAGAAGTTAAATTGCAATTTTTCGCAGATGAGATGATACTCTACACAGAAGGCTCTAAAAACTCCTTTAAAAGACTACTAGAGGTAATAAACAAATTCAGCAGTGTAGCTGGATACAAAGTCAGCACTCAAAAATCAATAGCATTCCTGTACAAAAACAATTATAGAAATATTGCCTTCCACAATAGCATCTAAAAAAATGCAATACTTTGGAATCATCCTAACCAAGAATGCAAAAGACCTATATGCTGAAAATTATACTACTCTAAAAAAGGAGGTTGAAGAGGATATTAGAAATTGGAAGGATATTCCTTGCTCTTGGTTAGAAAGAACTAACATTGTGAAAATGGCCATACTCCCAAAACTGTTACACAAACTTCAACGTGAATCAAAATATCATTAACATACCACACAGATCTAGAGAAAATATTCCTAAAATTCATCTGGAAACAACAACAACAAAAAAACCCTAGAATAGCAAAGATGATTCTGGGCAACAAAGGCAAGACAAAGGCATCTCAATTCCTGACTTGAAACTACACTACAAAACCACAGTAATAAAATCAGCATGTTACTGGCAAAGAAATAGACCTGAGGATCAATGGATCAGATTAGAAGATGCAAGCACAACTACAGAGACACTCATCCACCTTATATTTGACAAAGGGGCTAAACATGTTCACTGGAAGAAGGATAGCCTCTTTAATAAATGGTTTTGAAAAAATTGGCTTTCTACATGCGGAAGACTGAAAATAGACCCATGCACTAAACTAAAATATCACCATCCACTAAACTAAAGTCAAAATGGATCAAGGGTCTAAATATCAAAACAGAAACACTAAATCTCCTGGAGGACAAGGCAGGTAAAAACCTTGGAGACACAGGGCT